TTTAAACAATGTATCAGGTGCAGAATTGTTTGCCTGTTAAAGTATCAAAACTCTATTATGGATTTCTGTTTGGTTGCTAAATGCAAACTGTGTGATCAAATTTGGAAAGGACAGAATAGGACAAGAAGTTAGACATGTCTTCATTCTGATCGTAATTACTCTCTAATGAGCAAGCAAACCGTAAACATTTTTACATAGATCGATAGAGAAGCGTCTCCTGTACTCGAGCAATTAAAAATGAAATTTTCATAAAAGTTAGGGGTGGCTAGTAAAAGAACTCTCACTAAACGATTCGATTTTACTTATTCTTGAGTCACTTTTTTATTAACTTAGAGTCAATAAGAGAATAGAAAAATGCTCTTACACAACGATCAATACTCATTGACGAATAAAGCATTTTTATCAAGTTCTGAAAATGCGTAACCAATGACACATTCTCAGCAGTTTTCAGCATAGGCTTTGGAAAATATTGCCCTCGGTTTGATTGCGATGGTTCTCAAGCAACAAATAATGAAAGCTCAACACCGCGGATGCGCAAAACAGTGCGCTAGCTGCTTTCATTCACGAGTTATTCAACTTACAACCGAGTACCTTTCAGTCTAGCGCCGACATTAATTATTAATCATACAGTTTCTCAAAAGTATCATGGGTAGAAAGTGGCGTTATCGACCACTCTCTTTACACTTTGCAAGCATGTTTTATGAAAAGTTTCGAAATACAATAACAATACAATATAAGAAAAGGATTCCATGAATCGTGGAAAGTATAGTTTGTTGATCTCGAGATCCTGCGTTATTTATTGTTGTTGTTATTGCCCCTGCCGTTGTCCTTGTTGCTGTTGTTATTGCTGTTGCTGTTGTTGCTGTTGTTATTGCTGTTGCTGTTGTTGTTGTTATTATTGTTGTTGTTGTTGTTGTCATCGTTGTTGTTGTGGAGTTCTTTTCGATCAGTTCCCATGGATAGAAATCATTTGCTAATTTCACCGTTTTCTCGATTTGTTGTCGGGTATTACACAAATTTTGTTTATTGCAAGTAAAACCAAGATGGTTCCAGTCAGATGAAAGGGGTGGATCACCTTGTGCAAGTGTAATACGGAAATATAGACGAGGGAATATCGTCATCGTACTAGCATTTCTACACTCTCCTTCATAGTCGATCGTGCCATTCTCTATTATTTCAAATCCATGACATCCATAGCCATTTTGACATGTTATGGGCTGATCCTGATTATCAGAACACTGTTGAATATCAGGTTTCGTTGGATCGTATAGTTCGGCGCGTATTTCGTTTAGTATTGGCTCATTCTGAATTAATGTTTGTATAGTTAACTGATAAAATAGTTTTGCACAGTCAAATGCGCTCTTACAAGTGTATGTGATGTTGACACCCATCCTTTCTGGGTCATCAAATTTATTTTCAACTGATAGGTCTAGATGATAATTGCCTATTGGATCATATGTGCCGATAAGATCCAAATGAATTTCTTTCGTTAAGTAATTCGTACGAAAAGTTGCTTGACAAACATCAGCGTCAATCAATTTTTCTTTGCATTCTGACGGAAATTCCGTTGCATTATTAAATGATAGCGCAATATCAGTACAGCTTGTGCACAGGAGACAAGCAACCAGAGACAAGTTTGAAATCAAATAAAGAAGCGTAAAAGTCGTTTTAATAAACATCATTATCACTGTTGTACTTACTCTGGATACAGAAATGAATGAGAAACGAAGTTTGTGAAGCCTTGAGTTATTGTTAGATAACAGGTGTATTTTATGTGTCATTATGACTAAGATATCACCTGTTTAGATTTTATTGCACCGTCCACACCTACTAAGCACAAGCTAAGTTTTTCTGACTTGGGAACATTTCTTAGATGTCCAACTCCCTTTGCCTTCATATTTTGCCCAAAATCAGAGAATATTATTCTAAGAAAAAGTCTAAAACGAGAAAGTCTTCATCTCGTAACTTGATGCAACGACTTATTGTAATTAAACTGGATGGATGTTCTGTAGTTATATTTCATAGAAGACAAATGCTGTTGAAAAATTGACATTGCTAAGGATGTTTGACTTGTTATATTTGTACTGGTCGTACAAGTACTTGTTCTTGTGGTGGTAGGGGTGATAGTTATCTTTGTTGCCTTTGATTTCAGCTAATTCAACTGGTATTGTCCTTTCTCATTGCAATAGAATAAATCACACATTGAATATTTAATTAAACGTATTTACAGGAAAATCGTCGTTCAGCTGAAAGTATGTCATCTGCTTAAAATATTAGCTCATATTTTTCCCCTGGTGGAATACAAGGTTTGCTTTGAGGCAGTAAACGATTCTCAGTTTCATTAAATAGTCATCTTTTCGTGTCCTCTTTTGTTCACTCTAATCGAACCTAGCCGTCATGGCTAGGTAATAATCGGAAGAAGTTGGACCGGGAAAAGAAAGTGATGAAAATAGAAAAAATAACTTGTCTTTGAACTTTCTTTTGAACTTTGCGTCTTACTGATAGTGAGCTTCTCCTAACCTTTATTAACGCAATTTGCCAAGAGTCATAAATAAGCTTGTGGTGTAACACGTACAGAATAAAGAGCGGCAAAACGCCCCTCAGTTGAAGAGATGCGTAAAAATGTACAGAATTTAATTGAATTAAAATTTTTGTTGCTACTTTTTTCCTATATTTTCTGAGTGACGTACCGAAAACGTTAAGAAAATAAGATAATGAATATGAAAATATTATTAAGAAACAAGCAGCAGATTCAAGATTAGTTGATGAAGAAGGTATTATTATATAAAAAACGTTAGATGATTGCGTTGCACCATCAAGGGAAAAA